CGGGCGTGCGGGCGTGCGGGCGGGCGTGCGTGCGTGCGTGCGTGCGTGCGTGCGTGCGTGCGTGCTTGCGTGCGTGCGGCGACGCACCAAAAATTCCTTCATCTTCGATTTCATCACCATCATCAACATAATTCTGTTTCAGGTTGCCAACCAAGACTACGCCCAATTTGTCGAGAGTGTCTCAGTCACAGCCGCTGAGCCGACCATGACGAGAAGTATACCCCACCAAAAGGATCCGATCGTTTAACCAGAACAGAGCATCATCCAGCCTAGCTCGATTCAAGTCTAACCCCAGCCTACTCTACTTTCATCCTAGCCGAGCTTACTTCTACCCCAACCTGACCTAACACAAGCAAACGAAACACCGACAACCTGAACAGACCTAACCCTCACCTAACCTAATCCAGCATAACGACGAAATCCTTCCCCACCCAGGAGACCCCCCCCCCAGCCTCGCCCGCACCGGACCGCAATCTGATCGCCACGCCTGGTTCCGTCGTGACCGGTCGTGTCGAGTCCATCCACGAGTCCTCTTGCGCGTTGGTCCTCCTCCAACCCGAGCTTCACTTTTTTCCTCGTTGCTCCAAGTGGATTGGCCCGGTGCACAGCTCTGGTTCTGCGATGCACATTCTCAGCCGTTGTGCCCCCCGGTCTACTTTGTTTCACGGCCCCTGTCCAAAGCTGTCTTTGCGCTCGGCCTCCGTTTCTCGTACGAATGCCGGGCTGCCACTTCACGGCTTCATAAGGTCGAGCTTGAGCTCTGACCGCCTTTTCCTGGCGTTCAAGTTCGAGTTAGTCGTAAGTCGAGCGAGTGCCCGTTTCTTCGCGACGCCTGTGTAGTCCTCGCCATCTTGTTCCCGGCATGCTTCTGACCCCGTGCTTCCTTCTTCCATATTCCGTCTTCGTGCCTGTCCCACGAAAGGCACGCTCTGCTTCTTCGCCGGAGTCCAGCTCCGATGCGTGTCGCTTCTTTTTTTCGGTGTTCCACGATGCGGAGACTATCTCTCTGTCTTCCGTTTTCGCATTGTGGCAGGCTTTTGGCGTTCGACCTTCTGCTGCACCACTGACGCTTCTGAAGATTGTTCCGTGCGTGGATAGGATCCACGATCCCAGGGAGAAGCATGCATCCGCAGTCTCCCTGCAGCGGTCATCCTGCACCCTGGTTCACGGCCTGCCCCTTGTTCAGGTTTTCGTTGCTATGGATGCGATACTCAGACTCTACAACCTGTGATGTCTAGGGCCTTGCACCCCCAATGGCTTGCGTCGTTGCACATGAGCATCACTCGCATCATCGTGGGTTCTCTGGAGGGACCTGTTTGGGACAGCTGCAGAACCGGGACCGCGTATAGAGGTGAGGGCTTCATTCACTCCAGGAGGTGGTCGGGTATTGTGGGCGTCATGCCTTGCTGACAAAGCGTGGTGGGTGACATGGTAGACTACGACTTCAGCCACATCAGCCACCTCCCTTCCAGCATGGAAGGCTGCAGCAAAGGTTTGAGGAGTTTGCATCCGTATTGACCTCAACCACAATAACACTCTTAAGACTAGGATCACGAGGACACGCCCCCAGCTGTGAATCTTGAGGGTGTCGGGTAATCCTGAAGCTAAGGCTCCGATTGAGATGTCTGGCCCTCCGACTTCCACCACCTTGCAGCCAGTTCGCAGCGATCGTCTGCAGGTAGCTCGGGCAAGGCCCGCAGGTCTAGAGTTGCGAAAGCCTGGTGACCATATAGCCGACGTGAGGGGGCGAAGCAATGCGCAGAAGACAGCCAAGCGTTAAAGATCGAGGATGGCCAACCGTCGACAACTTCAACTCCAAGCTGCAATTCAACGTTTTGGTGCAGGAATGTCAAATCAAAAAGAGTGGCTTGCAATAACCGGTAGCCATGTGCAGCTGCTGTATCGTGCCAGGCTTGCATGCTGCAGCCAGACCAATGTTGACCTCGTTTGCCGTCCATCCAAGACATGCCCATTCGGCCTGCTTTGATGTCCGAAAATTGCTCCCGGAAGCGTATCGGTGGTGGGAAGATTCGGTTATACTCGACCACCAGAAAAGCCGGAGCCAGCCTCATCTGTCTCAGTAGGGCCTCCCCAAAAAAGCAATCGGCGTGATCAAGGTCGATCTTCAAGAGGTCAACACGTGTCACTGCAAGTTTCGCCAGAGCGTCCTCCACAATGCGGGTGACGTTTCTTGGCGAGATATAGCCGACATGCACAACAACACCTGGCCAGCGGTGTTGCAAAGCCGTCGTTTCCAAACCCTCCACGGCAACACCTCTTGCGCCGACGTCGAAGGCACAGTTGGCCACGTCTTTCACCACCATCTGTGCATCCATGCAACTACCGTCGTGGGCACCGAGATTCACAACTACGAGTTCGGACGGCATCAGCCCCTGCTTTTGGCGAAAGAACTCCAAGATCTCTGCAAAGGGCAAGCGTGTCGTGGATACGACATGGTGGCCGTAAGTCCTTTGCTGCCAGCAAGCATCGCATCTACTCCATGCATCTGTATTGCTATATATGTCTGTAACTAAAGGAGTTCACGCGTCTATCTGCTGCAGGAGTTGCTACGTTACATCGGTGTTCAACTGAAAGCGGCAGGTGTGCTATGGTTCGCTCGCATCTCTTGTGCTTGACTGTCGGTGCTTGGACACTCTAGCTCTGCTTCTTCTCCTGGTCTGTGGGAGCTCTCTCTCCGACTCTCTTCGAATTTCTTCCCTCCTCTCCCCCCGCTCTTATGCGAACACAGGTCTCTCCTATGGCGCGTCTTTCGGACATCAGAATTTCGCTTGTTCCTTGTGATGCTCCCTTTCTTTCGTCCTAGAAAAGTCCGAGAAATTCTGCATGGCTGACCGAGAGGCCCGTTGAGAAACATGAAAGGCCACCTGCAGAGAGGTCACCGAAGTTGCAAAACTGTTGCAAGCAGTCTATAATCTACTCTCCACATTTCTTGGTTGCAGTGCTTTTTGGACACTTGCACCTGAGGCAAGAACGTCTGGGCAAAGTCTGGCTGTGCCACAGCACCACACACGGGAGCAACCTGTTCTCCCAGCAGAGGGCGCAGCTGGTAAACAGAAACCCCGGCCCAAGTGCGGTTAGAGCACATCAAGTGGGTATCGGGCACCCCTTCCAGGCTGGCCGAAGTCGCTTCGAAGACGCGGAATAATCAAGCTCACCACCTCCTTGGGAATCGGCAGTGGGTTTCGCCGAACAATTCGAAAGTCGAGCCAAGGAGCCATCAACTCGTTGCCAGCGCTGCAGGGCTCTCGCGAGAGCCATGGGAAGTTGGGCGGCGCACGCGCCAAAAGCTGCTCCTACCACGACCCCGATCAAATCTGCAAGGTCCGCAGGACTGCGACCAAGCAGCGCATGAGGCATTCCAGTCGGACTGAAACTCTTCCGTTGTAGGATACACGCACCTCGAAATCCAAGGCACGTCAGGGCTTGCGTGTGCGCTACACAACAAACCCTCGGGGCCTGAATCTTGCCATACAGAGCATCAAGTTCAAGCTCTCGGCAAAGCTGAGCATAGCATTCACGAGGTCCGTGGGAACTCGTCCAGCCTGTCCATGATCTGCGTGTGTGCCATGGTCAAATGCAGCGAGACCAAATCAAGCTCAGCATGGCTGTGAGACCTCGCTGGCATCCGCAAGTGCCCACTCCAATTCCTCGATGTGGCCGTAGAAGCTGAGCATCATTCCATCCTGGCAAGTCACCCGCAAAGCATGAAAGACGACCTTGCTGCGACCGCTCCTGCAATTGGATTTCCTCATCACAGTCTGCAGGCATGGCCCCTGGCCCTATCGACCGCAGAGGAGGACAAAATGCTAGCGCCGGTCCTTGCAGCGCAGGCCCAACACTCTGGCCCAAGCCCAGAGCATGAACAACAAGGCACGGCAAAGCCAATCCTTCCGGCTCCGACGGCTTTGTTTGCTGGGCGGTGGGCATACGAACCTTCAAGGGTGATAGTCAGAAACCGGGTGCCACTTGCAGAATCATTCACGACAAAAAGACAAGCAATGATGGTGGCACCATGAACAGGATGAACGCGAGCGGTGTGGGCATCCAGGCATCCATCGCGCCACCAGCGCATCATGCCCGCAGCATACTGCGCCAAGCAGGACCCGCAACTCACCACGAACCGGGAGGCTCCCAGAACTGAGAACCAGAATGGCTAAGGAATACACTGCATGGAGGGATTACACTTTTCCGAACCTAAAGATCGAGATGCAGACATGGAGGACGTTGAAGACTGATTTGCATTCTCGGCCTCGGAAAGGATCATTTAAGTGCAGCGGAAGCCTGCGGCAGCATGCTGTAGCCCTGGGACTGCGACCCTTCAGCTGCTCCTGACACGCTGGCATCACTTGCCACCATTCACTGCGACACGGGGCTTCGCCCACGGAAGTCTGCACGCAAGCGGCTCCGTAATTGATGTGATCTTCTGCATTCGGCCACGCCAGAAGTCCAGCTCACTGCGAGGTCCTGGCCTGTCAGCGACTACCACGCGCCAGAGCCAAAGCATATCACAGAGAATTTCTGATTGGCATCGTTGCTCGGAGGTCGACTCTTGCACCGCACTGTGCTGGTCCAGGCCTCATGACCGAAGGAGGCATCTGGGTTGTTAGCACGTGCACGCAGACTCTCTGAGGCAGTGTCCATCCTCAAGGTACCGCTCAATGTCTCGGCACCAAGTCTGACATGCGATGCAAGGTGGGTCGGGTCGGTTTGTGCTTTAACTTCTCCAATATACAGCTGCGTGGAGCCTCGAGAAGTGCTCCATACTCTCCGATGACCTCAGTGACACGCTGACTGACTAACTCTTCGACTTTCAAGGCCAGATTTACGTGCGATTTGGCCTCCGGGTGCTCCCTCACCAAATCCTTCAGTTTGAAGATCATGGAAGCTGACAGCCAAGAGACGCAGCGTCGACAAACTGGCACTTGGGATTTGCTATTGCCGTCTATGCGGGCACATGTGCTCGTCCCATGGCTCCATCCCCCTGAAGCCATGACATGACGGGCCCGAAGCCACACCTACAGACGTGGATGGGCAGATTCCGCCAAAGGCGAATTACGAGCCTCGCTGCCAACTGTTCATCGGCAGTCTTGTGACGGCCAAAGGCTCTCTCTGAGCTCGGCATCGGAAAGGCCGTCACCGACACCGGTCGCGCGTCGGCTCAGTCAGTCTGCGGAAGTGCGGGCACCGGTAAAAGCCCCGCACGGCCTTTGGGCACGCTCGCAAAACAAAAAACGAAAAGAGAAAGAGCCAACTTTGGGCTCCGCGCGGCAGTTCTCCAGCAGCCAGGCGGATAGCCAAAGCCCCACCACAGCCGCCAGCAGCAGTAAAAGACACCTCCAAATCAGGACCCTGCTTCTAAATTTGGGGTTTGTGCGGCGATAGCCGGGCGGTGTGCCATGCAACCTAAACCCTAAAGATGTGCGCCGGATATTGTCGGATGGAGAAACCGTAAAAACCTGGATGAATCGCTAAAAGTGATGTGTGAGGGGGGCTGGGACACCCGAAACGATAAGGGTAGCCTGAAACAGCTAGACCCACGAAGTTGAAAACCCTAAACAAAAAAAAACAAAAACGTGTTCGGTGTCGCTCCCGCGAGCTTGGCAATTAGAGACTTGGACATACGGAAAATCGAAAAAAAACTGAATAGCCGCCACCGGCAAAACCCGAAATACTAAACATGGGACCAATCAGTCTGGTATACCGGCGCAACACTAAGCCCTAAGATGTTGTGAATCCGAAACCTTGATGCAGTCCCGGGTGGCGATCGTGGTGAATCCCAACGCTGGGATAACGCTGGAGCGTGTATACTGGCACAACCCTACGCCCGAAAAGGATGGCGACACTGTCAAAACATGGGGGTACTTCGTGTCCAAATCCTTTTGAAGCAGGGCTCTGTAGCCGTGCCTGCAGTGCCGTAGGCCGGTGTCCGAATTACTCAGCGTGCGGGCAAGAAGCGGCAACATGTAAACAGGGTGTATCGGATGCTGAAACCAGTAAACCCTGAATGGCATGCCGACACCCGAAACCTGACCGGAGTGTGGAACGACGCAACGCACGAAAACTTGAAACCCTGAAAAACGGTGTCGTTGACCTGACGTTATTCTAAAATGAATGTCGGATGCCGCAACGGAATGCAGGGTGCCGAAACCTTAAACCGTCAGGAATCGCGTCGGATGATGAAACAGGTGACAGCGTGGACTCCAAGGTGGCACAACATTAAACTGTAACGACAAGGGGTGCTGCGCGGCAAAACTCGAATTCCTGAACCCCGGCAGACGGTGAAAACGAAGAGCCTACATGGAGTGCCCGGTGGCCAAACCCGACACGAGGGACATACGCGAAATAAGGCTTGTATGGCGGCGAAGTCTGCCACCTACCGAAGCCCTACTAACCAAGATTTAAACCCTAAATGGTCACACAGCGGCCATAAACGGAATGCAACATGGCGAAAAGCACTAAACTCGAAAAGACGTGTAGCGGCGGGATCCTAGGCCAAAGACCCTACAAAACCTGAAACATAAGTCAGTGAAATCTGGGGCCTAACAGACATGTAAAGTTGGAAAGCCCTATACACTGAAAGGCGAGCAGCATTGCGACATGCTTAAACATGCGGGGTGGCGAAACTGACAGTGTTCCTGATCTTTACAACTGGGCATACTGAATGGATTGTGGAGTATTGCACTGCTTCCGGGTGGTGAAAAGTTCACCCCGAAACGCCATCATGCTTCGCAAATTATTGCAGAACTACAATTCCAATCAGGATTGCTCACGAGCAGGGTGCTTCTGCGACTGCAGTAAACCAGAAAGGCATGAACTCATGAACTACCACCTGCTCAAGTGATTCCGAGTCAGTGGAACTCAGTTGTAGAATTCCGAAACACGAGCAAGTAGCATCATGCGCGTCTTGCTGCCCACTTGTTGACCAATATCGAGGATCAAGCTGGTCATCTGGCATTGGAGTGTAGACGTTTGTTGAGCTCCGTGTTCGAGCCCGCGCGATACGGATCGTTTGAGCCTTGAAAGGAACCGCAACGTGGCAACTGTAAACCCTTTCGTGAGATGGTGGCGCTGGGTGGCAAAACGAAGCCCGGTGGCCGAGACCCTCAAATCAATGCATCTGGCGAAACCCTTAGCCCTGAAAGCAATGTAAATAGCAAAACTGGAAGCCCTAAAATGAATGCTGCCGCTGTCTTACACAGGTAATTCATGGTTGCTGAAGCAGTAAATTAACGCTGGAAACCCCTTCAATGGATGGTCACAAGTACCTTTTTGCTCGAAGCCTTGATTCTCATGGGATGGGAGGGAGGCCGATGGTTGTACACATTAGTGGCATGACAAGGTCGAGAGCGGCAGAGCGACGAGCACTCAGAAACCTGGCAGGGGCCCCCCCACGGCCCAGCCTGCTGCAACAACGACAGCAGCTCTCACGCTCCTCGGGCTCCTCCGAAGGTCGCGGAGTCTCTTCTCAATGCTACAGCGTTCAGCTGATGACACATCAGACACATCAGCAATCCTCCGAATCACTATCAGCTTCGTCATCCAGCGAGGGTGAATCCTGAAAGAGCTTCATCCTGCACCCAGAGCACCAGCACCCAAGATGCTTGAACTAGCAGCACCGGACCCGCAAGTGCAAAGTCCTAGCTTCGTCACGCGAAGTGTTTGGAGTAGCCTCCAATTGCGTATCCGGCCACACGGGTGCTTTTTGTCACGCACTCGTCGAACCTGCTTTGGCGACTTGGTCAAAGACTCCTCGAAACACTGGGCCTGAGGCACTTTATACGAGGAAACATCCACAAGCAGGCATCCCAGAGACGCCTTCACAGTCCGGCCAGTCAACTTGCCAAGCATTCTTACCTGGGACAAAAACATTTCTAGCCCCTGGTCATCTTACAATGGCGTAGCTTCCTGCTGCCGGCACAGGTACCATAGATGGAACCAGCCTGTCCCAGTCCTGGCTCACCTTGACATCGGAGTGGCAGTGGCTCATTGGGCATGAGTGTGACCATACATGCTGTCGAGGTTCAGCTAATCGAACCATGCTCTCCGCATCCTCCTTGCTCGCAGCACAGCGCCTCGGAGACAATCTTGCACGCAACTTGCCGCCGAGCCTTCTCAACCAAATCTGCTGCAGCCTCAGACCTCCCCAAACCATGCCTTGCGGAGAAGGCACTGCGATGCCTCGGGCAGCTGAAATGTCCTTGGCAGCACATCCCCTTGCACTCACGTCATCCACGTGTGAGAAGAACCTTGGGCAACTGCTTCACTGCCTCATCGGCGAGTCGACGATGCTCGGCCTGGTACATGCGGACTGCACGGCTGCGTCAGGTGAATCGATGCAATGCCTGCTTCTGACGCGCCTCAAAGAGGTGAGAAAAGTGCGTGTCTGACTCCTTGACCTGGCAACGAACAGAGCTTCACATTCTTCACTTGTCTCATTCGACTGGCTGAAAAGTGCCCCGCCGACCTGCCCGACCACCATCAAGCCTTTCACCAGTGCCTTAAGTCAGGTTCTCCATTTACCTTAGCCTCAAACCGCGCGCACCACTCAGCGAGTTTTCCTCTGCTGACTGCTTCGCAGTGCTATCAGCACCAATAACTGATAGATGGCTTGTGGGCCCATCTGGGGCAAGGAGCCAATTAAGCTCAAACAGCCCTTGCTACCAAGCGCCTCATGTTTAACACGAGGATTCAACAAGGATGGCAGAAGGCCAATTCTGCTGGTCCATAGATCAGATCCATGGCTTCTCGCGGTGAGATCCATGGCTAAACACCAACTTGGCACCATCGTTTACTCCAAGAATTGGAGGTCGCTGGCGATCAGCGCCAATCACACCTTGACTGAGTCTGCCACACAGGAAAAACGAGGGCTTGTTTGTCGTGGCCATGCCGCCTCGTCGACATAGTAGTCCAGATCAACCACATCGTCATCGGTTAAGTCAAGGAAATCCTGCACTTTGGTGGCAGTTGTAGGGCGAGCCCAGGGAATCTGGCGCGCCTCAACGTGCTCCATGAGAGAGCAAATGGCCTGAGGAGAGTAAGTATTGAAGGTTTGCTTCTGTCAGTGCAAATATCTCTGTGTCTATTTGTTTTGATTCCTCTCCAAGGAATTACTACAAGTAGGAGAACGAAGACGTCAGTCATCAGTCTCAAGGATTGGTGCCAAGGCATGATAGCTGAGAAAGGCCTCTTCCGACACCTCTTGTGCTGCTTTGAGCTGGCACCTGTGCGACCGCCGACGTGACCAAGCCAACGCAAGCGACAGCGTGCTCATGCTGGGCACAAATCCTCTTGTGTGCAACTTTGAGTTCAAGTCGCATGTTGCGCTCGTCATTCTCCGTGTATGTCTCATCCTCGGAGTCGGAGTGCTGGATCAGGAGCCCCACTGCCTGCACACGAAGGTCACTGACACCATCTCCATAGCTCGAAATCCAAGCGACCGCTCACCTCTTCGCAGGTCACACCCACCTGAAGGCAGCTTCGGTAGATGGGGCGTCGCTCAGTAGCCATTCCTACATGAACCCGAACTGACAATGCATTGCCACTGGGCGGAACCCACCTTCGAGCTGCCAGATGTAGCCACCGAGCATGCAGATAGCATGCCAGACCTCATACTCGACGAAGAGCTGACAAATGGACGGGGTGTCCTTTCAGCTGTGAAATATGACCTGCACCCATTCATCCAGCTCGTCTAGTGACTGGCAATGTGATGCTGAAGCTCCTCTGGCCGCATTCTTCATCGGACCTGGAATCCATGGCTTGCTCTTGCGCGGCCCGTCTCAAACTCGTTGCAACCTCTGCACGGTGCATGTCTCTGATTTCGCAGGCACTCTGCACGGTGCATGTCTCTGATTTCGCAAGCACC